TTAGGTCAAAAACCTTCATTTGAACAAAGTTGTCAATCTGTCATCAAGTAGGCAAACTACTTCAACCATAAACGTCTCAATAAATAGGCTTCTTCAACGTATTTGACATATGACCGACATATGACCTTTTTGATCTTGAAGGGATATTCATTTGATAGGTCATCAATTGCAATAAGTAAAAAAAAATGTTTTTACACTAAAACTCTATATTATATCATGCGAAAAGTCAAATAGAATGACAAGATGCCTCCTAATTAAACAGAAGTCGTACAGTTGTTGAAAGATATTAACACATTTTATCCCCATGGCTTTAAAAGAATGTACGGCAATTTATTTTATCAAATGTGATTTGACCTTAATATCAGCATGATAAATACGAACTATCATGATCCTAAGTGACCGGGTTGGGAGATTAAACGTTTTAATTTATGAATCCATGTGGTTATATAAACAGTAAAAGGCAACAATCATAATACACATCGCATATGTTTATATGAAATTTGACAATACATTTTTCCGGACTATACGACTTCGTATGTTAGCAACAAAGGCCAGGAATCTATAATAATAACGCAGAAAGTATATTGACAATTACACTAAGTTAGAGAAGATTTGAAAGGTTCATTACAAAACTGATGATTGCTGTCAAATACATACACATTCGTATTCTGGATGTTCAGGTAAACACAATACAATAAAATAAAACATAACCTAGCCGACACGTAACAAATCAACATTTTACTAAAATGCTACTTCCCAAAACAGGTCTTCATGTGTAGTTTTTGATTTATAATGATGTTAGTTCAATATCCTAAAATAAAAGGGGAAATCATTCAATATATCCCTCTGGAACATGCATACGTTAAACCTTTCGTGTAGAATCTACTGGCGAACTGTTTGTATTGTACAAGAGATTCGTCCATTGATACTCTGTTCTATATAAATAAGGGTTGGAACATGTTGCGCCAGTTTTAACACTTGCTTCAATAGCAAACAGTATATTGTAGGTCCAAGTCTTTCCCGGTCGAAGCATTTTCTGAAATTAAACATCATATCAATTACTTCAAAAGTTGACATGCCTGAACGGTAAAGTTTTATAATTGTTATTATCCCTTGCAAATTGAACGTGTGAACACATTTGACGTCTGTCGTTTAAATATTCCAATGTGATAAATAGTGTATCTTATCTCTTTTGAAATAGAAACTAATAAATATAAGTATGCCCGTTTGTTTAACATATGGTATCAACATTTTACTGTGTACACTTCATACACTAACAATATACGTCCAAACGTTTGAATCACTCAGTCATGATTTGGTAAGTTTTTTTATTTGTCTTTTACGTTCTTAAGGATGGGCAAGGTTTTGGTGATGGAGGAAAACCACTGAACACGCGACCCAGTTGTGGATGGCTAGTGTTAGCAGAGTGTCAAATGCCTAAATCAATCGGCAAAAAAAATAAAAAAATATAAACATCAATGAAAAAACATATTATTACCCTGAAACTGAGGAATGTCCTTAAGTATGCTATATTACTTACCAAAGACATTAGATATAGGGTTGTTTTGGAAAGGACAAGCGGGTCCCAGGACATCAGTGTGGTCATGACTCGGGACAGATTTGATTGCCGTCAGAGTCTTATTTTATACCGACACGTCAAACAAATCTGAAACAATACAAGTGACAAAATGTTTTAGGCGAGATTAGACGGTAATCTATATTAACCGTTATGCGTTGATCCTCAATGCACTTCTCATTGTTGTTATTTATCCCGAGTCCTGTTTTTTTTTCTTTTTGCGTTTCAACTGTATTAATTTTGAGTTCGGTGTATGTGTTCCCGTCGTGTTTGATATATAAAAATCAAATCATGTTTCTCAAAAATATGAACCTTGTGTCTACTTGATATTTTCATATTCTTAACATGTTAAAAAGAAATAGAGAAATCACTTTCGGACTTGGTAACAAAATATATATTGGTCCTGGTACGTACAATTTATCAAACAAATATCGATAAAGAAATCAACATTAAACAGCGACCTAGTGTTGGGTCAGGTATAATGTATCAGGCCTTGGGATTGCATCTATTACTCTTAGAAACATGTAGTGTCATCATACATCTGATCCTTTCTTGTGATTGAGGCAAAAACGTATTAAAAATCGTAAATTGTAGAGCAAATAATACTCAGAGTAGACTAAAGGGTAGAAGATAATGAATAGAGATAATGAATGAACCTGTATCGTAAGTGACGATGACCATAACTTAACGCTGAGAGCGCCGTGATTACATAAAATATCGCTGAGAGACCTGTGTCCACATAAATCATGCCCGAGAGCCCGGTGTCCACATAATTTTCGCTGAGAGCCCCGTTTTATATATCTTATCGTTTAGAGCCCCGTATCTACATAAAATATCGCTGAGAGCCTCGTGTCTACATTAAATATCACTGAGGGCCCCTGTCTACATAAATCATCACTGAGAGCCCCGTGTCAACATAAGTAATTGGTGTCTGGACAAAGCATGATTTCATATGTAAATACTAAACTGTTTATCCTTTGTCAATATAGACTTTGATGATGAGTGCATAAAATATGCCAATGGAATTTATGAAATACTTACTTCGCTGCTTGTGACCAATAAAAGACATTCCATTTAGATGTTGTGGACTATGCATGTCTTCCATACCAATATTTCTGTATAGACAAAACAAGAAAGAGCAAAACATTTGCTAAATTGATAATTAATATTTTGAAGTTAATACAAGAGGCCCAATGGGCCTGCATCGCTCGTCTGGTATTAATCTCACATTTGTAATCTTAGATTTCATAAGAACCTATTAAAAGATTTAAACATATGACGCCTGTGACCTTGATTGTCGAACAAGGACATTAGGTTGAAAGTGGATCAAGGTCATTCATTTGAACTTACTTGGTAATTATTATGTTATTGAGAAGAAGTCGCTTGAAGACTTTACGACATTTGACCCCTGTGACCTTGAAAGTTGGTGAAGGTCATTCATTTGAACACACCTGGTAGACCTTCATCCCAGCATGATACAGGCCCAATATCAGTACCCTGGGCCTTTTGGTTATTGAGACGAAGACGTTTGAAGATTTTAAGACATTTGACCCCTGTCACCTTGAAAATTGGTCAAGGTCATTCATTATAACAAACTTGGTAGTCCTTCATCCCAGGATGATACAGGCCCAATATCAGTACCCTGGGCCTTTTGGTTATTGAGAAGAAGTCGTTTGAAAATTTTAAGACATTTGACCCCTGTGACCTTGAAAATTTGTCAAAGTCATTCATTTTAACAAACTTGGTAGCCCTTCATCCCAGCATGCTACAGGTTCAATATCAGTACCCTGGCCTGTTTGGTTATTGAGAAGAAGTTGTTTTAAGATTTTAAGACATCTGACCCCAGTGACCCTGAAAGTGGGTCAAAGTCATTCATTTTAACAAACTTGGTAGTAAAAAGTTGACGCCAGACAGACGGACGACCGACGGACGGACAACGGACGCCGCACCATGGCATACGCTCACTTGCCCTTCGGGCAGGTGAGCTAAAAACTATTAAAAGAATGTATATTTTTGCTCTTGGAAACGATAAACAAAACTTCTTGTAGTGTTTGTTTCTCTTTGCTATCAATCTTCATAGATACACCAATCTGAAAAAGAAATAATATATCATATGAATTTAAATATAATGGTATGCAACTAAGATATGTTAAATAAAACGATGTAACATTATTCGACTATTCTACGGATCTATATTCTAATAACGTATCAAAATAAAATATCTCAACAGATTCAAAATGCATACATAAAACAATATCGATATTTCATAATAAAATTAATGTCTTAAAAATATTTCTCAGATAAGAATAATCAGTGATATCCTGTTGTCAATGAAAACAAGATATATGTTCGGCAATTTTCTCCCTCGACAAACTCGACAATCACACAGCGTGACCAAAATTTGTTTGTTTGTTTGATCTTGTTTAACGTCCTATTAACAGCCAAGGTCATTTAAGGACGGCCTCCCCTGTGTGCAAGATGCATGCGTGTAGTGTATGTGTGTGTATTTTGGGAGGCTGCGATATGTTCGTGTTTGTCTCCTTGTGATAGCGCGGAACTGATGCCGACTTTATAGTGCTACCTCACTGAAACATACTGCCGAAGACACCCAGCAGGACGCCCCACCCGGTCACATTATACTGACAACGGGTGAACCAGTCGTCCCACTCCTAATTTGCTGAGCGTTAAGCAGGAGGAGAAACTACCATTTTTAAAGACTTTGGTATGTCTCGGCCAGGGGACAAATGTCACATGTCAAACTTATATCTGAATCTGAAATAGAGTTTAAGTTAAGGAATTTAAAAGTACAATGATGTAAAACAATGCAGCACTATTCAATATCACAATTATTACAAAACGTTAAAATCGTAAAATCTGCAAAAAAGAAATTAAGTGCATTTTAAAAGTATGACATATTGGACAATGAAACACATCGGGACAGACAATCATACCACAACAAAATATGATAGACAAACACAAACGATATAAACACTACTTCGACACCACAACATGTTCAGATTAAAATTGTATTTATATAATAATGAATAAAGAAATAACACTTAAAATGTATTGAAGTAATTTTCTTTGTAAGATATGTATTAAGTGTTTGTTTGTAAAACTAGCAATTCGCGATAGTGTGTGTGTGCGTTGGCCAATTGAACATCTATTTGGTCATACAAATTTTCGGGACTATACAGATGATTGGCTGAAAGTAAAACTGTGCGTTTGGGATGAAATGACAGTGAAACTAGAATTTTTTATAGGATTTGTAGCTATCTCTGGTTGTGAATTTAACATACGGAGCAGTCAAAGGGGAGATGTCTAGCATTTGAGGTACGTATGCATATTATGGATTTTTAATGAAAATCCACCAGTGAGATGGCCTTCGGTCACATAAACGTTTGCAGATGCTACAAATGCTACAAAAGAATTTAGTTAATACAGAACAATCATTTGTTAATAGTCTTCAAATCAGTTAATTCATTTATTTACTTAATTGATAAACCTCGTCGGTTTTCATTAAGAATCTGATTAAGAAAGAGAACCAAGTCTCAATGTGCACATGATATGCTTACTTGTATTACAGTATCATTGATCATTTTATAAATCCTCATGCAAATCTCAAGATCGACAAAAAAACTACAATGAGCAAGAAATACTAAATCAATGACAATTACATTTGTCCTTTTAACAGAATTATACATTGACATAGAATAATCTCGGACTCAAAAATGATGCTGATAAAAAGACAAAACTTACTTCCTGTGACTGTCAGTGTGGTTTGAGAACTCTGTCCAGTTCCTAAAGAGTTGGTGGCGAAACAGGTGTAGGTACCACTGTCACCAGTGTTAGCGTGGAGAACGGTCAGGGATGGAGAATTTACCGTAGAGCCGGAATAGTTGACTCCATCAATGGTGATGTTCTGTGTTATCCCATTTATATTGAGCTGCCAGAACACAGAGGTATGGGTGGGGTCGGCAGACACGGTACATCCAAGGGTGATGCTGTTTCCTGTAATGGTGCTGTAACCAGTTTGGGAAATGGTCACAGCTGGAACACCTGAAAATACAGAATTGCTGTTGTTTAAATTGAATATTTACCTGACACTTAATTTCCATTTTTTATAATGAAATCTTAAAACTTGTGTGCATGAATACCAAAAATCATTATTGTCAATTTTGTTTCATGATATTGCATATTCTGGATCCACATTAGTACCTTTGGCCCCCAATGTATCAACCATGTCATATGTGTTTATACCATTCATTGTCTTGATCTAAAAAAACAACGGTCATATGTCATATACAGCATACTCATGCTATACCCACACCAGCTGATGCATGTATATGATATTATATTATTTGACCAACAATGCAACAAATAAATGCCATATGATATAATATGCATACAATCCTTTGATCTAAAAAGAGGTCAAGAGTGCCTGTATCGCTCTCCTGTTTCTTTTGCTATATGAAAACGACATAAAGGTAACTTCAGACCAAATTTGGTAACTAGAACACAAGACATTTTAATATCTCTTAAACGGTTCTTGAGATATTGTTGAGATTGTTTGAAATTTGAGATTTTAATTTTAAAGCTTTTAACCCTAGTTGACCATTGACCCTCGACTTGCACCTAAAGTTGACCTTTTACCTCATTACTTTAATTAAGAAAAAAATTTGCAATGCTGGTCTTCATAATATACCCACGAAAATTAACTAAACACTTTTCAATTTTTGAAAGCCTCCGCATGCAACAAACAAATAAATATTTGACATGCTTAAACATTGTTATACCTGTGTTTATTCGTAGAAAGGAATTTTTGTTTGTCACATGCGAATGCTTTAATTTCTGCATGTTTACTGACCAAAACACCATATTTTGGCTATTTCTGCATAGCAACGCTGTTTCGTTGCTATGGTAGGGTATCTACGCATGCGCCATGGGAAAAGTCTACACCTAGAAAGATAGTCCCAATTAACCAATACGATGTTTATAACAGAAATTAACAAAAATAATCAAGTTCTTATGATGCCAGAAATGACCAATAACGCCCCAAGTCCTTTTTGTAAGCAAACTTTGTCTACCTCCATCCAAATGAGCTTAAACAGCCAAAATCATGAATCTGGGGCAAATCATTTCTTCAGAATAGATCTGAAGTTTTTGAAATATTTGACCTCTGTGACTTTGAATGTAAGCCAATAACTTTTTAATCGCATATTTAGTAAGGCTCCAACCCAGGAAGTTAACAGCCAAATATTGGAGTTTTAGGACTTTCATTTCTTCAGAAGGTATATTAATTTTGCCGAGAGGGCATGCATTGCTCACATTTGTATGTAGCAAAATATTATCATTAAAAGAAATATTGCAGTTATGACACCAGGCATACCGGTAACCGCACCTTGTACCTTCACACCAGGTTAGTAAAAAATGAAAGGTGTAGCCCCAACTTGCTACTGAGAGGTAAAGCTAAAAATAGCTTTAATATACTATTAATACAAGTATTTTACCATTATTGCATTAAAAAAATTAAGGTTAGTGATACAGGCCTTCTGGACCACTTATATATATATCCTAAACTTGTCCACACTGTTGGAATTACTTCTTTGTCCCATATTTATATATATCCTATATTTCTTGAACGAGAGAAGAAATAACGCTATAACTAAGATTTTAAGTTATATGACGGGTTTAAAGAAATAAGAGGACATGTGTAATAGTGTGATAGTATGTACTGTTCATCTGTTAAACGTGTCTGTGACAGTATGTACTGTACATGTGTAATACCAGTTTGTGATAGTATGTACTGTACATGTGTAATACCTGTCTGTGATAGTATGTACTGTACATGTGTAATACCTGTCTGTGATAGTATGTACTGTACATGTGTAATACCTATCTGTGATAGTATGTACTGTACGTGTGTAATACCTGTCTGTGATAGTATGTACTGTACATGTGTAATACCTGTCTGTGACAGTATGTTCTGTACTGTGTAATACCAGTCTGTGATAGTATGTACTGTACATGTGAAATACCTGTCTCTGAAAGTATGCACATGAGTAATAATATATGTCAGTAATAGTATATATGCATGTCCAATATCAGGCTATGATAGTATTTATACGTTTTATATCTGTCTGTATTAGTATATACATTTGTAATACATATATGATAGTATGTAGATGTGTTATAGAATCTGTTTGTTATAGTATACATGTGTAATACCTGTCCGTCATAGTATTACATGTTTTATACCTGTCTTTCATAGTGACTAGTGTGTACATATGTTATACTTGTCTGTGTAAGGATGAACATGTGTAATATGTGTGTGATATTATAGATATGTATAATACTTGTGTGTGCTATTATGTATGTGTATAATACCTGTGTATCATATCTGTATTAACTATCACACACAGGTATTGTACACATTCATACTACATGTATCACACACAGGTATTATATATATATGTGTGTGTAATACATGTGTGTGATAGTTAATACAGGTATAATACCTGACTTTGACAGTATAAGTCACATGTGTAATACATTGTATGTGAAATGTATATGGCTAATACTTAAACATATAAATATCCTGCCATGTTTACTCATTACTGATAAAGATTGTGATATGCTTCATGATCATCAAAATTTGATGCAGATGCATCCTAATTGTTAGTATAGCAGTGCTGTAGAGTTGATCTGTTATTGTGTTGTGGGAATGCCTTTATACAACTTTCAAGTACGATGTGCAATTTGACAAACATGTATTCACCATCAGTTTCATTTGGATTGAAGTTTACCTTGCACGTGTATCATAATAATTGTGTTTTTGACTCCTTGACATCTAATCAAGTGTCATCCTATCTAAGCTTTAACAGTGGCATTTCAAAATTTTCATTTGTTACAGATTTATAGCCATTATGGTTATTAGTCTTATTTAGAAGTGAGCATATTGCAATGTATTAATTTAATTGCATATATGTATGAACATGATTGTTCTGTCGGCTGTATATATGAAACCAGACTTGTAGTTATCGAAATTCTGTAGCTGTGAAGGCACTACCAACATTAGATGATCTTCATAATTATGCATTGCTCTGCAAACTTTATACAATTTATTTCTCATTAAGCTTAATATATTGTGATGCTTTTATTTTGCAGGCTGGTGAATAGACAACACAGAAGAAAGTCAATAATGTACACATGTGCTATCTAAAGTTATTATGATGTCATCATTTGATGATTCAATCTTCATTGTAAATGTAGCAAACCTTTTGTACCAATTGATTATGTGACGTTAATTAAAAACCTATTGAAACAAAGTGATAACTTTTCTCCATCGTAGCGCATCGTTCATAAACTTATATTTTATTTAATTCTTCTTGGGAAGCAGTGAATGGATTTCTTCAAATTTGGTAAGAATCATTCTTGGTGGAAGATATGATCAAACTCCGAGAGCCCAAAATGAGAAAATTGGCCAGATTTAGATTTCAAAACGCCTTTTCCGCAGACTTGAATGTACCAGAATTAAAAGTATTTCATGAATGAAAGGGTCATTTGAAGATTTATCTCAATTGTAAATGTATTTACTCCTGGTCATCAGTTCTCCCTGGGGGAAGGGTTAAAGTTTTCTTTACTTTATATAGGGAAATAACACATTTGGTATATTTTGTCCATTATTCAGCAGGAAATAATTCAAACTAGGTTGAAAAACTTATGATGAGATGGCAATTAGATGTTAAAAGAAAATAGGATCCTGCCTCTCTCCTAAAGCTGGAGGTGTCGGCCCAAAAATGGAAAATTGACTAAAATTGCAAAAGTCTTTTGGGTCTTAGGCCAGACAAAATATATGTGTGTTTACTGAACATGTTATAGTCCAATGAGTCTGTATCGCTCACCTGGTATTAATCTCACACTTGTAATCTTAAAAGTGATCTAAAATTTAGCTACAGGCGAAATATCAGTATTTATGACTGTAAGTCATTCAAAAGAACCCTTTAAAAGATTTTAAAACATTTGACTCCTGTGACCACGAAAGTCGAACAAGGTAATTACGTTAAACATCTTTATAGTCCTTCATCTCTGCATGCAACCTGCCAAATATCACCACCCTAGACCTTTTTCTTTAATGAGATTTAGTAATTTGTATGGTATACATATCTGACCAAATGTGATCTTGAAAGTGGGTCAAGGTCATTTCAATGACTTGATAGCGCTTCATCCAAGCATGCAACTGCCCAACTATCAACATTCTGGGCCTCATGGTTATTCAGAAGAAGTCGTTTCAAGAATTCAAAAACACATTTGACTCCATTTATTTGAACAAACTTGGAAGCTCTTCATCTTAGCACACTACTAGCCAGATATCATCACCCTGGGCCTTTTGGTTATTCAGAAGAAGTCGTTTAAAGATTTTAAACATATTTGACCCCTGTGACTTTGAATAAAGACCAAGGTCATTCATTTCAATAAGCTTGGTAGCCATTCAACCCATCATATTACGGGCTAAATATCATCATCCTGGGCCTATTGGTTATTAAGTAGAAGTCGTTTAAAGATTTTAAGCATATTTAACCCCTGTAACCTTGAATATAAATCAAGGAAATACATTTTAACAAACTTGGAAGCCCTTCATCCTGGCATGCTACTGGTTGGATATCAATATTCTGGTCCTTTTAATTCAGCAGAAGTCGTTTAAAGATTTTAAACATATTTGACCCTTGTGACCTTAAATATAATTCAAAATCATTTTGTGAACAAACTTGGTAGCCATTTATCCTAGCATGCTATTGGTCAAATATAACCACCCTGGGCATTTTGGTTATTCAAAAGAAGTCATTTAAAGATTTGAAACATATTTGACCCCTGTCATTTTTTTGAAAAGCTTGATAGACCTTCACCCTAGTATGTTTCTGGCCAAATCATCCTGGATCTTATTATGGTTATTCAGAGGAAGTTGTTTAACTTGGTAGCCCTCCATCCCAGTTTGCTTCTGGCAAAATATCATCACCCTAGGCGTTTTGGTCTAAAAGGAGAAGTTGTTTAAATTAAAA